AAACAGACTTATGTAATTCACACTTAACATGGTAAGTTTATAATAATGGCTTGCATATATTCTGATCATTTTTATCGGTTGAAAAAAGCATTTATTGAGAAAAATCGGTACAACATGTATTAATCAAAATAATTTCCATCATTTTCTATAAACTTTTCTCATCTTGCTGGTAACAGGGCGATACCGAGTCGAAAGAAGGATTTTAATTCGGCAGCCATCCATTCATCATCGAAACATTTTCACACAACTTTAGTATTTCGAAACCATGTGCCAGCCAAGTCATATTGCGTCGATTTGAACAAGTGATAATTACAGGACGCTATGTCTAGTGAGTGCGTTGGGTTGGGCAAAAATTCCCATTCGCAAAGGAAACTTTTTTCCCTTGACAACTCTTGCGATGTATGCCCGAGCGTTTGTTGACCGCTATTGTTAGTCTTTTCTGCCACATTTTATCGTTCAATTTGTTCAACTGACAACGGCAGACATATTCAATAACAGTTTCATTCGGTTTTCGCAGCTCGTAGTAGATTATATCTTGCTGATCCCACCATATGCTCAGCAAAACTTTATAGTCATTAATATTCCGTTTCGGTACCGATGTGGACTAACCCAAGGCTTTTTGCGCTTGGGATTGTCGGAGTAGATCTCATTGCTAGTCGCAATACGGTGCAGAAAAGTTTTCTTTTTTTTTGCTTGACAAGCAACGTTGGAACGGTCCGAAACGACATTTTCAATCGATTCGTATGAGGGGTATTTTCCCTCCTTTTGGATCTTTACCGTCATATACAAACATCTAGAAACAATTACAATAGACGATACTGAGCACTTTCCTTTCTTATGTTGAAACCTACTTGAGTTTCACTTTTTTTTTCTATCATGCTACCTTTCCGGAATGTGAATAAATCACAAGCAATCTCTAGAATGGCGTTTATTGTGGTATTTTTCTGATGTAAAAACTGAATCTAACTCTGCCTGTGACTAACCCGCTTTGCTAACATATGTTGTGTATATTTTATAAATCGATAGTCGTTGAAATTAAACAACTTTCGTTGTACTTCTTCTACGAATTTCGTATTGTTGTGCAAAACAAGTACCGACGAAAACTTATTAGGGGCTCCACAATCCTCTCCGCCTTATCAAATGCTTACATGCCGTACGATTACAATACCAACGAAGTCGTGAAAGCACAAGTACTGACAATCGTTCAGGTACTTAAGCGCTCATGCGGGGTAAGAACAGCGGACATGAAAAAAAAATGTATTTATGATATAACGGACAACAATACAAAATTGAAACTACATGAACCAGATGTATGGGTCTGTGGTGATGTGGTGTAGTTGTGCGTGAAGGATATCGGAGAAAGGGCGGAATTCAGTATTGCTTAGAATCAACTGATCTGACTTTCTTTGTTGTTACATAACTACGGATGAAGGGTAGACCGGAGGTACTTGAAGAACGGAATAAATGGATTTAGCCAGCTTTAGGTTCGAGCAAGCAGATGCGTCACGTGATATAATTTTTATCTGCTATATGAATAAAAATGGAATGAATCGCTTGAATATTGTGAAGCAAGAAGAAACCACCGCATTTGGGGAAGAAAAATGCTTTTACGGCACGATAAGGTACCAGCTAATCCATCTAACCTCGTGCCAGAAAAATTGTTTGCTCTCATGAGAGCTGTGCAGCTTAAAAAACCTTGAAAATTGTGACCTGTAATAATACATGGACAGACATCGGACGTGCAGATGGATAGACAAGATCAGAAAATGATTCTGAATCAATTGTCCTAATAATAGGTGGGTCTATTACAAACTTTTATGAGACTCTTTCTGTTACAATTGTCCGCGCGAACTTAATATATCGTATATTACAAATGGTATAGGGTGTGAAAAAGAAAAAGCAAAAAAAAAAAAAAAAAAAAAACAACCAGCTACATAAGACGCTAAAATCAAAGCTCGAGATTAGCGAACCAAAAACGAAGAAAAGAAAATGTTAAGCAAGAGCTGCCAACGGAACAAAACGTGATACAAGCACGAGTGAAAGGCTTAATCAAGCAACGTTGGCCCAACGAGACGTGATCGCAAAACATTAGCTATAATGCGGAATGAACGGATGGATTACGTTAAGCAAAACCACACACGACACCAAGCCCAATGGAATAAGGGTTTTATTGTAAACAAAATGAACGCCGCTTACGTCATAGGAAAAAACAGATAAAAAAATTCAAATGAGAAAAAATGAAATCATATAATCACAGAATCGTTTAATAAAGTGCGAGTTCATTTGTTTAACTGAAAGTGAGTGATTGTGCTCGTCTAGTATATAAGTTGATACTCTGAACTTGAACTCCTTAACTGAGTAAAAAAAGCGGTTGGTTTTATCCCGTCCTTTTCGCCCGGGACATTCAGAGGATTCATAGGGTTTTAATGTTCTTGTTTTTTTTTCCTTTTTTATATATGTCTGCCTTGAGGACATCTACCCATTACCGGTAGTTACGACGATAATAGGAAGAGATAGAAACTTTCTTGCTTTTCTCTTTTTTTAAATTTTTTGCACATTACTGCCAAGGCTCTCAAAGTCTCTAAATGTGCTTGGGAACAAAGACAAAATCTCTTACTTCGTTTCAAACTAAGCTTATTCTTGATTGGATGCTAGGTACGACGATTTAAAGCATACGCTTCTCTAAAATAAATTTGAAATTTTCATTTCCCGTTTAATTCATTTAAACGTTTAACTTTAACTTATTAACCGCGAATTTGAATCGAATATGTCTCCAATATACTAAAAGAATAGACCAGTGGTGTCCCGAAATGCCAAGATCTCAAAATTCAGCTAAGGTTAAAGCGTGAGCAAAACTTCAACCTATGGTGTTGGTTGTAATCGCAATTTGTCCGGTTAGCCAAACAGTGTGACAAGTGACAGCACGGATCAGGAATCACTGATATAACTGAATTCTTTCAAGACTAATACGCATAAAGGTGACATTAGAAACTCTTTTGTCGCTTCGGTATATTGTCTGTTCGTTCGCTTTGAGTTTGGAAAAATTATATTAAAGTGACGGGATTTTTTTTTTTTGTTTTTTGTTTAAATGTTTAAATTAATCTTTGTGTTTTAATTCCACCTACACAGAGTATGTACGCGATGTGCGTATATTCGTTTGCATTAGTGCTTGCTCTGTTTCTCAAACGTTTCGAGTTTCTAACAACACTTCTAACGTTACATGTTATTTCCAGTGTTTTGCAAACCATAAAAACCTATTTGGTGTTCTGTGGTTAAAAGAATGTTGTTTGATTTGCCGTAGTTCTGTTACTGTTGCTATTCTTCCGATACCCGGTTATGTTGACCTAACCGAGGGGAATTTAGTTTGTTAGCAAACAACACCACAAAGTTTAGAAGCGATGAAAACACAGAAAGATTGAAGAGAAAAGAAAAATAGAAAAAAATCAAAAAAAAAAGCAACAACAACAACAACAGTAGCAGTATAGAAAAAAAAAAAAAAAAAGCCGAAACTCCTTATAACAAAACATACCTAAGTGTAGCAAAATCGAGGAAATCAAGTAATACAGGATGACGACGACGATGATGTTTTTTGTGGTAGATTATGTGTAGAAATTTTCAAAGTTTAAACTGTAACAGATTTGTTAACTCACACAGCAGCAGTAGCAAGCTTTAACCGACATTTGTAAAGGCTATAAAGTGAACACAACATCAAAAAAAAAAAAAGAGCAAAAGAAAGTATTCCCAAAAAAGAATAAAAAAAACACATCTTTATTTTTTTTTTGTTTCGTACAATTCTAGATAATTTTCAAGCTTTCGGACATGCGCTCGAAAATTTGCCGGGACTTGGGCAAGACATGTGTTGGGTTTTTGCAATTTTCATAAAGAGAATTTCTAAAGAGTAAAAGCTTTTATTAAACTAAGAAGAGAAATGTGTAGCATGATTTTTGGAGCAAAGTGTATTCAATAATTAAGCCTACTGTTAGGGAGCATAGAATTCATGTAATTGGGAGAGTTACAAATAGAGAATTAAATGACGGCGAGTCGTTTCGAAAAAACAGAAAAACAACTAAGAAAAAAAATATAATTTTTAAGCTTTACTGAGATTTCTAGAGGAAAATGCACTTCCTCAGCATCTTGTTTTGCTTGCTGGCGGATTTGTTAGGAGGTTAAAGTCACTGGTAATGCTTGCGTTAGGGCTTAGGCAACTAGTTTCATTTAAACTGTTGCCCAGCTAGTACATACAATGTTGTGAGGTTTAAAAAAATCGAAAAGAAAATAACGCAAAAATATTTCAAAAAATAATTTGCAAAAAGTAATAAAAAAAATCCATTCAATATCACAATTAACAAAATTTTATTAAAAGAAAAAAAAAAATTAAAAATTTTGATATTTTTTTTTTTTTTTTTTTTTTAATAATTAAAGAATCCATAGCCAACAAGGAAATAATTTTACAAAAAAAAAAAAAAAAAAAAATTGTGTCATAATACAAACGCCTAAAAACAGGTTAAATGTGTGCGTGTTAACCAAGTGGAACGGCATAGAAAAACACAAAAAAAGAAAAAAAAAGAACAAAAGCAAAAAAACAACAAAGTAAAAAAAAGAAAAGAAGGGAAACGGAAACCAGTAAATGTATGTCGTTGCAAAACTTTCCTAATAGTCATAAATATATAGATATACGTATAGATAGATATACGCACACCTATACATATATGTTAGACGAAGTCAAAATTGATAATAGTTATTAAAGTGAGAGTAAACCTACTTCAACAGAGAACTTCACTTAAATAACATAAAGTTGCAAATAACGTTAATTTTGCGAATTAAACGCGGTCCGTGCTTGCTTATGAATATTAGACATGGCGCGTCATAAAGTGGCTTTTGAAGAGCGCACTTTGCATTTAATGGAAATTTGCATTGACCTGTCTTAATATCCTGGCCTATCCGTATAGATGCATACATGCACTCATACCTAAATATTCAAAAACATAAAGCATAAAAACAAAAAAAAAAAAAAAAAAAAAAAAAAAAACCAAGAGCTACTTGAATATAAAAGTCATCCTGTGCAATGAGGTACTTAAGCAAAAGTACATGTGTGCCGTCGTATGTGTGAGTGAGCACATTTCATACGAATGAACGGTAACATGTCGCGTGTGTGAGTTGTTTTCCTATTTTTCAACACAATCGGTCGCTGGAAAAAGGAAAGCAAAGCTAGAGAAAAAAAGGAAAAAGAAAAAAAAAAACGAAAAATGTATTAAGTGTGTTGCTGTTTGCCAGTGGTCTGGATGACAAGCATGTACGTGCTGTTACAACCATTACGTGTTATATGAAATTTTTTTACGCTCTTTAACGCTTTTAACAGACATCATAACACGGAGCCTTAGCTTTGACAACATAAGCGACCATATACACGCGCACACCCATACAACCGTACACACATAAAAAAGACGCACAAACTAACACGCATACATACACATAAACGTATACACAAAACACATTTATAAATCCATATATACAGCACCATCGTCATTACAAGTATTACCGTTAACATCCCGTCCTGCAGTTTTGCGCCTTTATCTGATGGCAATGATTCTTTATGTTTAAAAAAAGTCAGAAAACAAAAAAAGAAAAAAAAAAAAAAAAAGACACGGAGGTGCGTGTGCGTACGGGTCACGATCATTATTGAAGGCTAATGAAAAAATGGAGAACGCGAAGCCAAGAAAAGTATGAGAAGACTTTTTATGGCCACTTAAATACTATCGGCTATCATAAGGGAAAAAAACAAAAAAAAAAAAAAAAAAAACAAAAAAAATAAAAAAAAAAAAAGAACACAACGTATTACTAACAATTAAGCTTTTAAAGGCTAGAAATTCGGTATAAGGCAAATCAACTACTGCCCATGTGAGAAACGTGCAGTGAAAGCATTTTCGAACGCAACGTGACAAATTTATATTGAAAACGAAAGAGAATTTGAAGAAATTTTGATAAGTGCGCGTCAAGCTTATATCGCGCGCATGTATGTTAAACATTTGATTAAATATGCCCAAGAAAGCGAAAAGAATAAAATTTGTATTGTATGAAAATTAAAAGCAAAAAAAAAAATAAAATAAATATTAAATAAAATTTTCCTTGCTTAAGGAAGAAGAAAACCGGATTAGCTGAACTCCTTTAATTTTATATAAAATAATAATAATAATAATAACAACAATAACAACTAATAAATTATTGGTTTGTGGCATTTTATTTAATTTCGGTAAGTACATGCTTATTATGTACATAACTAAGGGTTAATTGCTACAAGAAATTTATGCACAAACTGAAAATGACCAAAGTTCACAATGCTTCCCACATTTATATATATTATATTATAGCAATATGTAAAATTTCTAATCCTATCGCTTGTGGTTTAATACAAAATGAAAATAACTTAAACAATAAAAACAAAAATTAAAAAAAAAAATAAAAAAAATAATACGAATTTCTATAAAATCTAGGACACAAATTTTAATTAATTATACATACATACACATATAGCAGTACGATTCACATTTTTACCACATACCAGTGACATATGCTCTTCGAAATTGTTTCGAGATTTTTAAATATCTTAAGTGCTCTTTAAAAATACATTTTCGAAAACGATTCAAATTTGCCTCCTCTTAATACAAAACAAGAAGAAAAAGAAGAAGAAGACGATAAAAAAAAACAAAGAAAATTTACATATTATAATATAAAATCTCAAAATCACATATATATGACAAAATTTCCGACTAATTATGAATTTCTTCATACGCGGCCAAGGTATCGTTACAACCAATTGTATGGATGGATACTACAAATAAAAATTTCATATTACAAATGGAATAATTTTTCTTTAAAATTCCCTTCGAATTTTAAAAGAGTCGATGCTTCCCATTTCTCAATACCATTTTATGCTTGGTCCCGGCGACGGTAAAATCTCTATAGAGACTTTAAGGAATGCATCGATAGAAAGTTCATATTTTCCCAGTAGATTTCTTTTCTATGCAGTAGCATCAATATGAGGATCCATGGCATGAAAAGATTATTATGATTAGACTATCATTATGGATATAGGGAGTAGTAGATTAACTGAGGGCACTTCGATTGGCTATGTTGATATATCTTCATGGTCATTGAAAATTCATTGAAAAAATGATACCGATTGATGATGGAGGATGCATGAAAGATTTATAAAACAGTCAGGCTACTTAAAGTGTTCATCTTCGACTTTACATAAACACTGTAAAGTTTCAACGAAAGCCGTTAGTCGTTAGCGTGTAGCGGACTTTTTAACTACATTAAACGCTGGAAGCATTATTATTTATTGTTCTAAGAATTTCGACAAACCATTTGAGACGAAACGAACGAAAAACCATATCATAGAACGAACATAAACATTACCGATGCGCTTATCTTCTCTTCAGAACTTTAATATTTCAATTAATTATTTCCATTTCCAGCGTATAAAAAATTATCATTGTTCAATATCTATATAACTAAATTATCCGATCAAAAGACTATATATATTCAGTGTTATAAAGAAACTTCTTAAGCAGCTTCTATCACCTCGCTTAGACGGTATTTTTGTAGCGGTATAACTGTGACAGAGACGCGCTCTGTCAGCCATTAAGTATCGGAACAATCATCGCAAGCCTTCAGCGTAAGATTATTTGTATTCTTATTGAATCAGTCACTTGTACTTTTAATGCATTACTGAAAAAAGAATTTTTACTGAGACGAAATTGGGAAATTGAGAGCACTTTGCCAAAAAAGAAATTTTCAAAAATATCAATCAATGTTAATAATTTAAATAGTAGACTGTAGTGTTACATTATTTTCATTTAATACTTTCTGCTATGCTATTCCATGGTGATGGATATTGAGAATTACTTCTTTTTTTTTTTTTATAATCAAATTTCATAAAGGATTTCTTGTTTGAATATCTTACGATTGCCAGATAGTAAGTGTTAAAAACGAGCACTTAGACGCAATATTTTATGCATCTAGTCTTAAAAAAAAAAAAAAAAGGAGAAATTTAAAACAGAGATTAACTTAATCCTGGTACTTACACTCCTATGACGAATAATGTCATCATGTGACTTTCAGACAATTAAGAGAATCTTACTTTTGTTCACAGCTTACAAGTCATATCTTTTTTCGATATGCAATATGAACTTGTCCAAATATTTAAATCCAAAGTTCAAATGTGACTCACAAACACATCACATTCTTATTAAAGTAAAGCGTTTGTGACTGCTTTGCCATTTCATTCGCCGTCTGGCTTTCCCTAACCCGTGGCGGTTTTCTCCTGTTCGAGTAATCGAGTAATTCGAAACCCGTGTTCTTTGCTAGGCTCATTTGCCTAGAGGGATATAATTTATGTCGCATTATTAGGTTTCAATCCATGCCTTGCTTTTGGAGTTCATCAAAAAACTGGAGAGAACTTTTTCACTCGACTTTATATTTTTTAAGCAAAATTCATGTAAAAGGGAGATGGGGAAGTCAACTTATTGACGATGCGTAGAGTTTTTCATTAAGCTTTTCCTTTTAACGCGAATTTCCTTTCTTTCGGTGACAGTGTGGCGGCTTGTGACGCTAAATGCTTGGAACATTATATAAATCGTGAATTATATACTGGCAAGTTCTGGCCCTAAACGTGAATGTAAGACAGAGTTCACGAGCACATTGCATCAATTACTGAGTACATTTCACGTTACTTTTTCGTTTTTGAAAAATTTCTATTGTGTCAAGTGTGCTCTATATGACTGAGATGAAAATCGTTATCTGTCTTAGTATGACTAAGGTATAAAGGGTCGAAGTAAAATCTTGTATGATACTTGTGATGCAGCCTGCGAACGTATGCATCACCCAGAAGGGCTGCTCATCTCTTCATCGAATTTTTTTCTGTTCAATCTAAAAGCCGGAATTTTTGAATGAAATTTGCTACATCAACGTGTTTTGCTCCAAAGGAAAACGCTGCAGCACTTCCCGTAAAACGCGTTACTTTAAAAACACCTCGTATGAATAACTGTATTAAGCGAATTAGTGTACAAAACTTAATGATGGACCGTGGCTTACAGTAATATTTCTATTTAGTTATAGAAGGTCTGCTATAAGTATTTAAAGAATGAAAGGATGAAAGGCAATAGGATAATAATATTCGAAGAGGTGAACGCGTGTTTTGTCTAACGAATCCTAGCACGATGAGCCTCACAGGCTTATAGTTAGAATGAAATTCCTTAACTTAGACAAGAAGTTGCTCAGAATTTCAGTTTATTTATTTATGCAGAAAAAGGGAGACTATATTGCTTTCTTTCGAAAAAGAAAAAATTTATTTGTTGTTGCATAAAATTCGATTCAGATTCGATTAACAGTTCAGTCCAACATATCTCTGCCCCAAAGTTCGTCTTCGATTGTGTCCTTTCCGTTCAACACACGGACTTACCGTCTGACTGTGCGACTTTGCCTCATATCGTGCAAATTTTGCTGAACTTTCATTAAATATTGTTTTTTTTTTTTTTTTTGTAATTTTTGTTGTTTGAAAATGCAATGCGAAAATTTCAAAAAATTTAAGCTCAATGGTTATATTCGCCTCAAAGGCTTATCGCATGTGGATAAGGATTAAATAGACTTAAATTATAGAAATAATTGAATAATGTTTTTCTGTTCGTTATATATTTTGAATGAATTCTTGTTTGGGCAACAAAAAACCAAACCAAAGATATTCTAAAGACATTTTATATATATATATATATATATATCGAAATTATTCCAATTCTATATGATTTACATATGGGAATTTAATCCATTCGATTTGTAAATCGTGTCTTATTTAAGTAACATGACATCTTATTCGAATTTGTCAATTTTTTCAAAATTCGTTGTTGGATTTACGTTGAAAATAAATTGGAATTTTACGGGACTTGAAAAAATTATCATTACATGCGTTCGTGTGTGCGTGTGTGTGTGTGTGTGTGTGTGTGTGTGTGTGTGTGTGTGTGTGTGTGTGTGTGTGTGTGTGTGTGTGTGTGTGTGTGTGTGTGTGTGTGTGTGTGTGTGTGTGTGTGTGTGTGTGTTTATGTGTGTTTATGTGTGTGTTTGTGGTTGTATCTGTTCTATGGGGTTCAAATTCGTATTTATTTGTTATTGAAATAACAACAAAGAAAACCAATTGAAACGAGGAAAATCGTGCAGCAACCTAGGAACCATAGGAATTGCTGGCAGCAGTGAGGTGTGTCCATACATTTTTTCTTTGAAATTGAATCTTCTCTATAC